TTGTAAATGTTTAGGGTATTTTGTATCCAGGCTTACGTGACCAAGGTGCCCAATTTCTGTTTCTCTGGAACAGTAACTTTTCTAAAAAAAAAACTCTTTAAATATATCTTAAATATATCTCCTAAACCTTGCGGCTCTAGGTTCAGTTGCTTGTGGGACCGGTAGTTTTGCTTATACTGGCATTGCGGTAGCTAGGCCACTGATACTACATGCAAATAAAGATATTTACGTGAAAAGTTCTAAATTTTCTGTGTTTTTTATAAGTCCTTACGGTCTTTGCAGCAGAGCTGATGAGCATTTAATTGAAAGTTCACGCCTTCTTCCTAACCGATGTCGCAAAGCATTCCTAGAAATGGGGTTTGAACCACGGATCCTTTGTTTCTGAGGCAAAATTATTTTGAGATTTGAGCGCCACGGCTGCTCAAATATGACTAATTAATTTTATTTCAAATAAACTACCCTTTCTGAGTCTCCTATGGGTATATGCGCCTTCTGCTAACATCCTGTTTTCAGCTTTGTCCAGACCTTTTGAACGGTTGGCCAGAGAGTGAACATTGTTGAGACGGTTTGCTTCAGAGAATGTTTATTATAGCTAAAACTATCATGGCTGGAACTAGAGAGTTTTAATCATGGGCGGAACCCTATTATTGATTTTTTCAAACTTTACATGAAAGAAATATTTAAAACCGCGCAAATCGAATGTTGGAGAAAACTGTCTTATGCCTTATTCCTTAAAATTTTACTTTTTTGCATTACTTTTGTACAAGATCCTGTCAAAGTTATTGTAAAATATAAGTAAATTTATTTACTTTATATAAATTACTTTTAATTTACTTTACAAATTATATAAAATGTAAGTTTATGTAATTTAAACTTTATTTTATATAACTTACTTTTAATAAAGATTTGTTATTACTTTTAATATAGAAAATTCCTACTTAAAAAATATTATTTTTTTTGTAAATTTAATTTACATTTGCTAACATATTACTTTTATGTAATTTACTTTTATATGTAAGTTACTTTTTAATATAATTTTTTTAATTAGTTACTTTTAAAGGTAAATGTAAATTACAGTTTGAGTAACTTTTATATTATGTAAAGTAATTTTCAAAAGTAGTTAACTTTTAAATGTAAAAGTAAACAGCTTTTTCACATGACTTACTTTTACATGTAAAAGTAAATTACTTTTTGATCTAATCTTTTTTTACATAACATACTTTTGAAAGTAAAAAAACTTACATTATAAAGTAAAAGTCGTTTCAAAAAAATTAATTACTTACACGGAAATGTAAATTTACATAAAACGTTTAAAATTACTTATGTAATTTACTTTTTGATAAAGATTGTTTTACTCGTATAATTAAAAAAAAAGTAAGTAAAAGAGCCATCCCTACCTTTGAAATTGTTTTGTTACTAAACTCTAACTCGAAATAATAAAATTAAAAAAGCCACGATAACAATCACAAGATAACTTAAGTAATGTAACATAAGTTAGATATATAGTATATAGTAAAAAATATAATATAATATATAGTAAAAAAATAAAAATAATATATAGTAAAAATTTTATTTTACCAGGTCATCACTGATAAAATTTTAAAAATTGGCATAGAGCTCTTTAAAATTTTTTAAATTGGCATAGAGTTCTTAACATCTTGTGAAAATTTCTTATACAAACCGCTATACTGATTTGCAGAAATCTGACCTTAAAGTTAAAGCAATTTTTTTACATAGTTTTGAGTGCAAGGTAAGTTAAGTGGCATTTTCAGTAATAAGTTCGCCCTCTTTTGGCCAGACTCAAAGTTATTTTGCTTATTTTATTCTTTAGACTAACAGCTTTCATACAAAATAGTTAAAAGTTAAATTTACAGTTTAAATAGGCAAATATTTGATAAAGTTGTTGCACAATAACCATGAATAAATCATGAACAAAACGGTTTCAAATTTGCAATCGTAGTAAATCCTCCTCTTGACCTAAAATACTACCTAAGATATGTTGACGATAGTCATGCTAGATTTTCCAACACTAAAGAAGCAGAATAATTCCTAATTATCTTAAACAAACAACACCCTGCGATACAATATACGATAGAAACTGAAGGTGAAAGTTGAACTCTAAACTTCCTCGATTTAACCATAATAAATAACAACAAAGGAAAATACAAGTTTAATGTTTACAGAAAGAAAGCCATTACTAATAGCCAAATTAAACCTCACTCAAATCATGACCCTAAGATTCTAAACACAATATTTAAAGGATATGTTCACAGGGCTTATTCTATATGCAGTAATTTATATTTACAAGATAGTATAGTTTCCTTATTCAAATGTTTAACGTAATGGTAAAACATATACCAACTTAAATGGATTGCAAACTTAATTAAAGAAATAAATGGTCTCTGAAAATCAACAAAAGTCAATCAGACTCTCTTAACCTCCCTACTGTATTATTACTGTAGATACCATCACTATCCCCAAAACTAAAAAAAATATTTCAGAAGCTGGCTATAGAGTAGTCTTCAAATCAAATCCAAATTTAAGAACATTACTAAGGTCAAAAAACAAAACTAAATTGCCATATAATAGTCAACCCGGAACTTATTTGATTGAAACTAAACTTCAAATTAGGACTTGAACTCAACAACATCTAAAAAGTTTAAACAAGGGGAAACATTATCAGTCTGCAATAGCCACCCATAATAAGTTTTGCTCACAAGATATTAAATGGGAAAACGTAAAAACAATTTAAGTCGTAACAAAATAATTTGAACAAAAAGTGTGTGAAGCTCTTGAAATACAGAGATTTCAATGTTTACCTTTACATGGCAAAATTAATTTAGATAACGGGCAGTTTGTAAATTTTGGACGTTTTTTACATTTTTACATAAGCAAGAAATAAGCCATTTAACTGCTGACATTAGTTAATTTTAAACTGTTTCTAACATTACAAAAAAATTTTCTGTATATGTATTTTCTGTATGTGTGTGTATATATATATATATATATATATATATATATATATATATATATATATATATATATATATGTATATATATATATATATATATATATATATATATATATATATATATATATATATATATATACACATATATATATATATATATATATATATATATATATATATATATATATATATATATGTGTGTGTGTGTATATATATATATATATATATATATATATATATATATATATATATATATATATATATATATATATATATATATATATATATATATATATATATATATATATATATATATATATATATATATATATATATATATATATATATATATAGTATTCATTTTAGGTGAATTATGATGCTCTTAAATTTGATATATATACATTAAATAAAAATAAAAATGCATAACTTTAGTCCTCTAAGTCTTTATGAAGTGTTAGATGTAGATGTCCATTTTTCTTTAAAATTTCTAATTTAAAAAAAATAAATGTCTAAATATTTTTTTTTTGTTTTAAAATATTTTTCGCTTGGTTTACAAATTGAAAAATATATTGTTTATTTTTAGGAGTTAAGCTCAACACATAGGAGTTAAGCTCAACAAATTGTTCTTTTTCATTTTCTTGTTCTAAAAAAGATATGGATTAATTGAAAATTAGTTTCTCTGTGCAGCTGCACATCTTTGTCTGTGCATCTTTGTCTTTTGCTTTAGAGTTACAAGATTCAGAAAGGAAGCAAAAATAATAAATTAAATTAAAAATAAAATATTGAATAAAAAAACTTTCACATCCAAGTTTATTAATTGATTATGCAATGTGCTCAAGTGTATAATGCTGTTCATAAATTTTACATTAAAAGTTTTTTAGTTTAAGAAATTGAAATTAGTGATTTTGTTGGTTCGGATTTTGCTAAAAACCTTTTTTTTTTAATTTACTTTAGTTTTTTTCTTTTCTTTTTTGTTTATTTACTTTTTTTTCTTCAAGTTGTTCATACATACATACATGTGTATAAACAGTCATTTATGCATATATGCAATTCAGAGTATTTAGCAATATTAACAAAATTGGCTATGTATACATACGACAAAAAAATATCTCACTTGGTTGCAACAAAGTAAATGAGTGCATGCATTAACTGATTTAAATAGAGATGACATGCTGGGAGTTTACATACATTGGCAAAAGGGTTGGGACTAAATTTAACCCTGATTTGATTTATGTACACTGCTCCCATATTCTCCCTAGTTAAATGATGCATATTCTCATTCATTTATTGCGACCAAGTAACATATTTATGGTTATAAGTGTAAATACTCAATTGTGTAAACATATGTTATAAATAACTAGCCAAATTATTTATTTTTTATATACCTTTGTATGATGATTTATTTTTTTAAGTAAATTTCAACAAAACAGCAATGTTTATTCTGACATAGAAACAAGCTATAACTGTATTATATTGGTATTTATAACTGTATTATAAGCTATTAACTGTATTTTTTTAGTTGTTTAGCAATAGTTTCGCCTTTCATTAATTCTATGCAATCATTAAACAATGACATACAATAAATAAAAGTAGATGAAAGAGAAGTATGCGCAATGCAAAATGTGATCTTAATTGAGATGTAGTTACAATAGTAAACCTAAATCTGCCAACCAATTTCAATCAATCAAAAATTATTTTAAAAATTAATGTTTGGTTTAATTTGTATTGTTTGTACAATAATTCAACTAAATGATGTTAATTAAATTTTTACAAAATAATGTTAATTTATGTTTATTTTTACTAAATATTGTTAATTTATATTTATTTTTACTAAATAATGTTAATTTATGTTTTTGACTTTAAAACCCCAGCATACTCTTAGTGTACCCTCAGTGTATATTGTGTGTATGCTTGTTTAAGTTATTTTTTTTTGGATATTTTATTTGCTGAATTAAATTTTTTTTGACTTTTTCTTTTGTTTGGGTTTTTTCACTTCATTTGTTCACTTCTGTTTTTTGCTTTTATTTAGCTGTATTTTTGTCTCATCAGTAATTAACTTGGCAGAGTTGATTGGTTTGCGACCAGACTTAATCAAAGCATTTAAAATTTTATACTTTCATGAGAATCAACTTATTTATCCTGTTCGAAAACAACAAGATAGGGACTTTCAATATGGCTATAATCAAATAGTTTCAACGTAAGCTATTGTTAAGTTTTTAATTAGTTTATTTTTAAGCTTCAACAAGTTCTGATTTTGTTTTCCCTGTTTTTATTTAAATAACTTTTTTTATTTGAATAATTTTTTATATTTAAATAATTTCTCATTAGTAAGATTTATAGGACTTTTATTGTCTTTCATTGATATTAATGTTTATTAATTAAATTTTATTAATTAAATTTTATTAATTTTATTAATTAAATTTTATTAATTAAATTTTATTAATTTTATTAATTAAATTTTATTGTCTTTTATTAATTAAATTTTATTGTCTTTTATTAATTAAATTTTATTTAAATTAAACTTTTATTAATTAAATTTTATTGTCTTTCATTGATATTAACATTGATATTATAATTGAAATTGATATGTAGTATACAATTTGGTTGTGTTTTTTTTTACCTTGTAGTGCATTATTTTTGAATGTTTTGTATTGGCAATAAGTTATAGTGAAGATATATATATATATTATATATATATATATATATATATATATATATATATATATATATATATATATATATATATATATATATATATATATATATATATATATATATATATATATATATATATATACTACAGACATAAAGTTTGAGGCAAGATAAAATTTATGATTTCGAGATGTAAATACACTTATATTTTTGTTTATTTTTTTGACTTCAATGAGTTTTAATTTATGATTCTAATACATAACTAGTAGATTAAAACTGTTTATGATATTTTATTGAACAGTGGATACCTGATACATTATATTCTACATTTCTTATTTGTTTAAAAAAAAACATGGGCACTTGTTGGTCCAAGTAGAAGATCGGAGTGAGTTTAAATTAGTATTTCTTTGATTGAATATCATTGTGAGTGGTCTTTCCTTCCCTTGCAAGTAATAACCTATTGAAAGTTTATATTTTATTAACAAAATTTTGAATTTTTTTATTATAAAACTAAAAGTGCAAATAATGAGTAGAAGAAAAGAATTAGCCATTGCAGAAAGAGAAAGAATACTTGTTTACCACGAAGAGGGCTATTCACAAGTTCAGATAGCAAAAAAAAAGAAAGTTTCAAGGTGTTGTGTGCAAAGGACACTACAACGCTACAATGAAAGTGGTGTCCATACAAGCAAAAACCGCTTTGGGCGACCTAAAAAGACTAACAAACTACAAGATAGGGAAATAAAAAACATTTCTTTACCAAATAGAAGGTACTTTTTAGGTCGCCCAACACTGCTGAAAAAATCTGAACAGTTTATAATAATTTCAAGGAAATTAAAATTAGCACTTCGACTGTCAAAAATTGACTGAAGCAAGTTGGTTTACATGGATATGTAGCTGCTCGTAAAACCTTATTAAGGCCAGTTAACAAAATAAAAATACTAAATTGGGCTAAAAGACATGAAAACTGGTCAATTGAACAATGGAAAAACGTGCTTTGGACAGATGAGTCCAAGTTCGAACTTTTTGGTTCAAAACAACGTGTTTTCGTCTGAAGATATGCTGGAGAAAGGTATTCTGAAAAATCTTTAGTGCCAACTGTCAAACTTGTAGGTGGCTCTGTCACAGTTTGGGGATGTTTTGGTGGAGAAAATGTTGGATTGATCCTCAGAATTGAAGGAATAATGACAAAAGAAATTTATAGAGAAATTTTGGAACAACAAGTACTGCTGTCTGGTGAGAGATTATTTCCGGATCAATATGTTTTTATGCATGATAATGATTCAAAGCATACCAGCAAAATTTGTAAATTGTAATTAGAAGACCTCCAAAGCCAAAAGGTACTAAAAATCATGGATTGGCTACCACAGGATCTCAATCCGATCGAGTTGTTATGGGAAGAACCTGACAGAAAAGTGAGAGAAACACAACCGTCTTCACTAGAAAACCTTTGGAACATATTGCAAGAAAAATGGAATGCAATTCAACCCGAAACACTATTTAAATAGATAAATTGATTGCCAAAGATTTGTGCCGCTGTAATAAAGAATAAAGGAGGATATTTTGACAAATCAAAAATTCAAGTAAAATAACAATCTTTTTTCAGCTTGTAAGTCAGAATTATCTTTAAGATTGTTTTTGGTTATTTTTATAAATGTTTGTTGAATTTATAAGACATTGCAAATAAACAACACAAAAGAAACACTTAATGGTTATATACCAAAACAAACAAATTTTCATTTAAAGTTAAACAAGTTAACACAAAAGTGGTTTTAAACAAAGTGAACTTTTCTTTGCTTTGTTTGCTTATAGAACTTTTCTATTGTTTTAAATTTTCTCACTTAATAAAAACCTTTTTATTTTCACCTTTTAAAAAGAAGTTAACAGAATTAAACTTGTAAATAAATATTAATAAATAATTTTTTGAAGTAAAGATTTCAATTTTGTCTTACATAAGTAAGCACCATTTCAGAATAGTTAATAAAATTATAATTTGAATTATAGTTGAAGAGAAGTGTTACAAAAAAGTTGCATAGAAGAGTCACAAAAAAGTTGAATAGAAGAGTCACAAAAATGTTGAATAGAAAAGTCACAAAAATGTTGAATAGAAAAGTCACAAAATTGTTGAATAGAAGAGTCACAAAAAAGTTGAATAGAAGAGTCACAAAAAAGTTGAATAGAAGAGTCACAAAAATATTGAATAGAAGAGTCACAAAAATGTTGAATAAGAGAATCACAAAAAATAATAGTTGTAAATACTAGTAGTAGTACAACTATTAAAAAATGAAAAAGAAAAGTAAAATAGAAGCTTGAAAAAAAAAACATTTTATTACTCTGAAATTCAAACCAGCAATAACAAGTTAAAATAATTTTTTTCAGAATTTTATTGAATTTTAATTATTTACGTCAATAAAACAGCACTTTTGTTCAAAAAAAATCCCAAAGAACTTTTTTATATCTTTATTTAGTTGAACAAATGCCATCTGGGTTGCTTTTAATTGGTCTTCCTAAAACATAAAACGTCTCTAATATTTACTTATTTGGTAAAAAAAACTGGAAATATGAAAGGTATTAAGCTACATTGTAAGTGTATTCTTAGAAAAAAATAAGGGCTTGGAACAAGCTTACACAAAAACCAGTTGACAAGACAACAATTAACATCATTTACTATCACTCACATGTTACATTGCTACAGCAAATAATGTCGGAATGAAAGAGCATTACTCTCTCATTCCTTATGTTATTAATTAAAATAACAAACAAGCGCAATTCTTTCCAATTTATATTTATTTACTTTACTTAAATAATTTGTTTTTAAAATTAATTGATAACTGAATAAATAAAGTCAAACTCAATAAGGTCATCTAAGTGTAGATGTTAAATTATTATGAATTTTTTTGCTAAATGAGTATTAAATGCTTTTTTTCTGCATAATTTTTTGTAAAATCTTAAATTAAAAGATTAGAACAAAATTTTTTATAAAATATTAAGATTTAAAATTCAAATTACTTGAGTACTTTTTGGAACCTTTTCTGAGTATTTTAATGTATTTTTTTTTAAAATCTTATTTTTTTTAAATATTTGACCCAAATTTGATTTAAAATGTTTTATTTTTTTGAACGCTCTATACAAATTATTACCATTAATATGTTAAACATGTTAACATATTAACCGTTACTATGTTACCCTTTACTATTTTACCTGTTACTATGTTACCTGTTACTATGTTAAAATAAATTATTTTTTAAAAGCAAAAAGATTATACTAATAATTAAAAACTCAATCATCAATGTGAGTAATAATTTCTAATACCATAAACCGGGGTAACTTTGGCTAGCGCGGTAACTTTGGCTATTTTTAAAAATTTAAATTAAACATCTTTTAAACAGTAAAGTAACGTTTTACTAATTTAAATTTTAAAACGTTACTTAACTGTTTAAAAATTACAGATTTAATTTAAATCTGTAATTTTTTGTTTAATTAAAATTTTTAAAAATACCTGTTTACAATACTAAAATTTTTTGTCTACCACAAATTAAATGCAAACATTGTGTTCGTAATAAATGGTCAATTTATAATTAAAAAAATATGCCTCATAAAATATATCAATTATAGATTTCATGAGGCATATTTTATTTATTTTTTTCTATTATAGACTATAATGGAAAATGATATGCTAAAAAATTATGGTTTACACTTAAAGTTTTGTTTAGGTGTAGATGCAGCTTTAAAAAATTGGTGTTTCTTGATTATTTCAAAATTCTTGATTATTTCAAAATTCTTGATTACTTCAAAATTCTTTTACCAAGCTTATAAAAAATAAGAAAAAATTAATTTGAATAATATCAGTGTTTGAAAAAAAAAAGAAAAGAAATTCATATGAAATGATGCTCATTTAGAAAATCACTCTTCTATTTGTTAAATTCTGAATGTTATTTTTTTTTTGTTTTAGTTTGTCTGCAGATGTGATTCTTTTTAATTCTTTATATAATATGGAATCATTTCTTGTTAATTTGAACAGTTTTTTAAAGTTAATGCCTGATTATCGCCCCAAATTTCTACCAGAAAAAATCAAACCAAAGTGTGCTGTGCTCTACTTTCCTTTAAAATTATCTTTACTCCCTGTGAATTGCAAACCATCTAGTGGTGCTTTGCACATAACTTGGCCGCACAGATGGTAAGAATGTTTTTAATGAAAGATTTATTAATTTAATTTATCTCATATTCTATTTTTTACCAGATCTAATTGTTGGTTATTTTAGTTGGTTTATTTACTTAGGGAACATGATAAAAATCCTCAGGAATTTTTTCAAGTGTTGTTTGATCTTATTGATTGTGGGCTAAATTTTAAAGTGTCTGTGCTGGGTCAGTGCTACTCCGAAGTTCCTGGTATTTTTTTCTATTAAAATTATTATTTATTACTAATCTTAAAATTTGTTTATATTATTGTGTACTTTTTATTTGTTTATTAAATCAATCAATCAAGTATATCAATCAATCATATATATTCTGATATATATTCACTAAGATGATGTTTGTTTTATGTTATTGTGATCATGTTGTTTCATATTTGTTTTATGCCACTTATCACAAACTTTTCTGTTTTTTAAAATTTCATTTTCAGAAACAGTTTGTTCACAAATGAAATTTATTTTACTTGAATGCTTGCAACCTTTAAATTTTATTTCAATTTTAAAAAACTTCGTTTGATTTTTATTTAACAAATGAAAATTAAGTTATCCTAGTATAAAAAGCATCTTTTTAGATATTTATAGAGTATAATAAATGCACACAATTTTTCCATGTTTCCTTTTTTTTTAAGTTGGTATATGCAACTATTATATTAAATATTAAATTATAAACTAAATCTAAGATTTAAAATTAAATTTATTTTTGGTATGTAAACAAACAAATGTGTAAAATGGCTCGAGTGCGACCTGGCGCAAGTGCCAACTTGCATAAATGCAAATTGGCATAAGTGGGAAACATTTGCAAAAACTGGTATAAGTGTGCAAAAAAGATTTGCAAAGATTGGCTTAAACTAAAATCTTCATAAGCATTGAAGATTTGTGCTTATGTCAAGTTTTTTAAACATATTTTGCACATATGCCAATTTATCCAAAACCATAATTTGGCATATGTGCAAACTGATATAAATGCGCCAAAAAATTTGCAAAAATTTGCATAAGTGCACCAAAAATCTTTGCAAATTTTCTGCTTTGCACTTATGCCAGTTCTAGCAGTACTTTTAACTGCTTTGCACTTATGCCAGTTTGTACATATGAAATTCACACTTTTTTTTTGCAAATAAATATTTTTAATATAATTTAAATTTTACATAAATACCACCGGCTTGAATTAAAAACAATATTTTAAAACAAGAGATTTACTTAAAAGATAATGTTAAAATAATAGTAAAAATAATGCATATGAAACTTTACCAAAATTTGTTTTGCTATGTCTTCCTGATGACTTTGAAATACAATGTATTTTTTTGAAAAATATTGAAAAATGAAAATTCTGAGTAAAACTAATTACTATGATAATTATATGTTTATTTTTTAACAAATTTTTAATAACCTAACTCTTAACTATTGCTCTTAATTACTCCTAATTGTAAGGGAGGGTATAATGGTTGAGGGGAGTAGATAAAATGATAAAAATTCATAGATTGGGTTATTGTAATTGTGGGAATAGGTGGAGATTGAGTTAGCGCAGATTGGGAGGAATGGTCATTAGATTGGAGTGGAGGGGGCTTGGGGCAGAGGTTGTGATTTTCTTTTTATACTTTTAAAAATTTAATTTCTATGCAGTCATTATTTATAAGCACACTTTTATATCCTGTTTACATTAGAGAACTGGAATACATATTTATTGCATAGTGTTTATTGTATTTTGTTATTTATTGTACTGTATTTTGTTAATCGTTTTTCTGCTGTTTTTTTTCAAACAACACTCGTTACTAAATACTTAAAAGCAGTACTCAAAGTGAAGAACAGGGTGAATTGTCATCCTGTCACCTTTTTATAAAGTATGAACTATGTAGCAATAATTTGATGGTATTTTGATAACACTAAAAACCATCCTGTTACATTTTTTTCTCTTTTTGATCATTGCATTAAAAGTATCAAAAACACAAAATTTTATGTATTAAACTAAATAAAAGTTGTTATTAAAAGCTTTTTGTTTCTGTAAATATTTCATTTTTTAATTTGTTTTAAAAATCAACATGTTTTACATTGTAATACTTTTTAGATAATAATTTATATTTTTTTTAAATAGTAAAAACATTACAATCCTCTTTCAAACTCTTTAACTTCAAAACACCATCCTTGACAAATAAGATCGCTGAGCAGAGTAACAAGTTGAGTGTGGTACAATTGAGGATGTGGTAGGTTGGATTTAAAAACTTCTCACTCACAAGGTTCTTTTTAGGAGTGCTTTACTATTATACGGCTACCTTATTGTTAATGGTTTATATTAGCCATATAAATTCAAACTATTTTAACTATGGCATCTCTTATGCCATAACAGTGAAAAATATAAATGAATAAAAAAACATTTAAAAAAAAAATTTCTTGTTTAAGGCTTCAACAGAGAATATTTTAAAACTAATTCTAAAATAATATTTCTTATCTTTTGGGTGAGGCTATGCAATACAAAATTTTTAAAAGCGGTTGAAAATTGCAATAAGTAACATTTATTCGCTGATTTAGCGTAATACAAATAATCGCTGCTTTTATAACCTTCTATAGGATGAAATAGTATTAATTGCTAATTACAAAAAAAGTTTTTTATAACAAATATTTGCGATATAAAACTTAAAATCCTACAATTTTATCACTTTCCAAAAAAATTTTGACATATTGTAAGCTGAAAAACGAAAACAATCAAATCAAATTCAGCAGCACTCAATAATGTTTTTATCTAATTTTTTTTAATAGTTTTTATTCTTATGTGTTAAGGATCATGTTTTTTTTCAAACATGCAACTTCTAATAAAATCTTTTAGGTAAATTCACACAATTTTAACTTGCCTTACACAAATTCAAAGTTTAAATGCACTATATTCAAAACTTTAACTTTAAAAACATCTCATTTGTATTTCAATTGTTACTTAATTTTTATATTTACAAAATAATGTTTAGGTTATTGTTTAGAAAGTTTACTTATAAAGTAATTATATTATTTTTAATGCAGTTTCATTATTAATAAAGTAATTATATTATTTATAAATTAGTTTCATAATTTATAAAGCAATTATATTATTTATATAGTAATTTCATTACTTATAAAGTAGTTTTATTATTAAAAAAATACTGTTTACAAACTTTTATTTTTTTATTTTTTGATGTCTATCAATACTCATTTGTTTTTAAAGTTAAATTAAATTTTTTTGCCAGTAAACTAAATTTTCTTTATTTTAAATAGTAAATAATAACTTTAATTCCTTAAACTTAAATCTTTGTCATCTTTATATTTCTTTATTTGGGTAAACAAAAAACTGTTTTTTTTTTTAATGTTTATATCTTTGTTTATATCTTTGTATCTGTTTCCAAACTTGTATAATTTGGTTATGATTCCATAGTTTCATTATTAATAAGAACAGTTTTTTTTACAACCTAATGCTTTTCCTGGCATCAGTTTGTTTTGCAAACTTGGGTTATTGTAATTCTATTTTAGTTGTACCCACCCACCTAAAAAAAACTATTATCTTATATTTATATAAGATAATAGTTTTTTTTTAACCCAAATTTTTTTATAACCAACCTAATGCTTTTCCTGGCATCAGTTTATTTTGCAAACTTGGGTTTTTGTAAATCTATTGTAGTTTTACCCACCCACCTAAAAAAACTATTATCTTATATTTATATACTAGATTGTTTTAACGAAGCTTACATAAAATTATCCAATCATATTGCTAATTGGGGTTTTCAAAAATCAAAGGAAAGTTATATGGAAATACTTAGAGAAACAGATGTTGTGATATCTACAGCAAGCCATGAATTTTTTGGTGTTTCAATGTAAGCTAAATTTTGTTGTTGTTGTTGTTGTTTTGTAATTTTTTTGTTCACTTGGTTATATTTTATTTTTATTTGTTGTTTACCTGCTTGATTTTATATGTTTTTCACTTGCTTGATTTTTATTTGTTGTTTACCTGCTTGATTTTTATTTTTTTTACCTGCATGATTTTTATTTGTTGTTCACATGCTTGATTTTTATTTGTTGTTCATCTGCTTGATTTTTATTTGTTGTTCACATGCTTGATTTTTATTTGTTGTTCACATGCTTGATTTTTATTTGTTCACTTGCTTTTTTGGTTCATTCATTAACCTTAACTTCAAGTAATGTTAACTTTAAATAATGTTTTGATCTTGCAAAAAATATTAACTATTTTTCAACTGTAAATTAGAGATGGTTTAGTAGTCTGCACCTAACCTTCCCCTCCCCGCCTCTGTTTCTTTGCAGCAAAATATCTGGTTGCTTATTAAAAGTTAATTGGGAATATGAATTATTAATCATACCATGTATGATATGTTTTGGTTATATTGTTTGCATCTAATATACACACACACAAAAAAAAGATTATGTCTTATTAACAATAAATTAGTTCTAGCTCCGAAAATGCACTATTTCAGTGTAGCTTCAACAATTACAGGCACTATTTTATTACTATGGAAAGTAGAAAAGTTAAAATAAATAGATAAATAAATAAACCTAAATATTATAAATTTAATAAATATAAAATTAAAATCAAAGCTTTACTAAAAACTGTAGCTATTTAATCAGGTTAAAAAGAAAATTTTTCAGAAGAAATAGTAAGATAATGCACCTGTAAATTTTAGATAATATACCTGTAAATTTTAGATATTATACCTGTAAATTTTAGATAATATACCTGTAAATTTTAGATAATATACCTGTAAATTTTAGATAATATACCTGTAAATTTTAGATAATATATCTGTAAATTTTAGATAATATACCTGTAAATTTTAGATAATATACCTTCTTTTTTTGCCACTTTGCCAGTAAATTGGTAAAATTAAAAAAAAATCAACTTTGGTTTTACAACTAAATTTTTATGTCTAAACTATTATGTTTTGATATCCAATTTAATTTTTAATTAATTGAATAATTATGGAAAAAATAATAGAACAAAACTGTAATTTTTTTTTTTAAAAAGAAATATTTTGCTCAGTTCACTCAGTTCACAGAAGAATTGAAAAGATATTTTCATTGGAATTTTTTCTGATTACTCTAGAGAAATGTCAGATATCTGGAAATATTATTTTTTATGAGAAAGATCTATCTGAATGTGTGTGTAAGTTATGTGGAAACAAAAAATAAAATGTGGTATCACATTGATTGACATGGAAAAAAAAAATCCAAGTTCTAAAAATAAAAGTTTATTCAAAAATCTCTTCAACAAAAATGGAACCCAAAATTTCATCTTTTTTTCAGGAGTCAATGAAAAATGATCTCTCCAAAATGGTAGCTCTGAATGAATTCAATTTTAATGGTTTAACAAAAAGCATCCTTCAAGTGTCAAAATTGAACTAAAAGATCAACTATTCTTTGTTTTTGAATGGAAAATGTTTTTCCATTGTACTAGATAAAAATGATTCCTTGACAGACTAAGTATATTTTTAAATATTAAGGTTCGCTAAAAAGGTAAATAACGAAATCTTGGACTTACTTGTGTTTTTGTGTCTCTTTCTACATAAAAAGCAGCAGAAGTGGTCTCTGTTAGTAGCAGAATAGGGCCTAAATTTGGCTGATTGTTTTTTTTTATTTTGTTACTGATGGAGCTTCAATGGTAATAAGTTTAAAAAAATTGTTCCTACTAAACAGCAAACTTGTTGCAATATTTTTTTAATTATTAAGATGCTCTGAGAAGAATGGTCTTATCTCAGAGCACAGCAAAGTAGCATTTAACCAGAAAACTTACAGCTCCTTCCTAACCAATGTTGTTTAATAGGCTAGAACCTGCATCAAACCTCAGACATTTTGGTTTTGAGCCAGAACTCTAGCCGCTTTTCATAGCATTCACCCAGCTATTCATGAGGATTTGTATGAGAGAAATATCCCAAAATTCAAGAATGAATCTTCTAATTCAAATTATGCATTGTTTTGGCTGGCATTTCTCTAAACCTCATTAGCACTGGAGAAGAGTTGGGCATTTTGACTAACTTTTTTGGTGCTCTTAAACCAGTCAAGAAAGATGCCACTTTTTTAACTGATGAATAAAATGAACAAATTGGAACAGAAAAATTGAAACCTTGCATCAAAATGAAAGGTTCAATTGGACAACAAAGCAATTTGGTTTGTACAAGTATCTGTCCAATCAATCTTCTCAGTTCTATTTCATGTCTTCATGAGATAGAAGAGCATGAAATAGAAAACTGTTCTTTAGAAAATTGCCAAATGATTGCTTTCAAGAATTTGGCAAACTTTGCACAAAAACAGTCTTGGTGATGGAGAGTAGTAAAATATACAAAGACATTAAAAATTTTTTTTTTTTTGAGAAATTCCCTCTAAAAAAAGTTAAAACCAGACATTCAACATTTAGCAAAGAAGCAGATATAATTCAAATGACGAGTTTAAGTCTATTTAAAGTTAAGTAAAATGAAATGTTGATCTTTAAAGCATAAAGCAAATGAAACACGAATCTTAAACTATTTGTTACAAAAATGAATGATGACCTGCTTGTCACTTTGTGCTTTCTAAAACTTATTTTTTGTTAAGAAATAAATGGTAATTTTTAATCTTTTATTTACAACAATTCATTATCAAAGCAATGGACTTAAAATGTGTTATTTTTTAAATAGAATTTAATTTTTTTAAATTAATCATTTTTTACCATTTACGTGAAAATATCTTAATTTTTACCATTTTACTTGTAAATTTAAAAGCTGGTATATTTAATTCATATATATATATATATATATATATATATATATATATATATATATATATATATATATATATATATATATATATATATATATATATATATATATAATATATATATATATATATATATATATATATATATATATTTATATATATATATTTGGTGAGGTATACAAAGTGAAGTTTCCTACTTTAAATTTTGATTTCAAATTTCCCACTTCAAATTTTGATTTAATAGATTACAAATGTTGCTTGTTAACTTAAATCCAAAATTTGTTTGTCATACATTAACAGTAAAAGGTAACCTACGCAGTTCCTAATATATATAGTTCCCTACACCCCTCCCTTCATCTCCAACAAATATTCCTGAAGTTCCATTATTTATATCTAAATTAAAGCCAAGAAAATCATTAAATCCATACAGCGTTTCTGCAATCTCAAATTAGTTTAACAATCAATTTTCAAGTATTCTTTTTCAAAAAACTTTTTAATATCTCATTCTTTAATGGAACTTTTTCTGATACTTTGAAATTATCTTGTGTAATTCCAATATTTAAAAAAGTCTTACAGAAATTTTTATCTCTTATATTATTATCTCTTACTATTAAAGTATTCTCTTTTTATTAGTGCTGTTATGATGATCAAATTTTTGCTGTTATTATTATAATTGTTTTGGTAATTAATATTTAATATATTTAATAAATTATTAAAACTTTTTTTTTCCTTCCTTTTTTTCATTATTACTTTTAAACTATGATTTTTACACATTTTTACATGTCTTTTCACTTTTTTATTTTTACATGTTTTTTAAGTTTAATTTTGCTGTGAGCATATATTCAGCAAGAGTACTCAATGAAAGATTTCAGAGCAATATAATTGATTTTTTGACGAGATTAAATAAAAATAACTACATAATTTTTACTACTAAAAGTTTCACAGTATTCCCCCCCCCCCCCCTAACACTTCAGAAAAAGTATATATTAGCCTAGCAGAAGGTGAATGGAAGAAAAGATGGGCTAACCCAAACACGCATTCATAAACAAAAAGATGAAAAATTCAACCACCCTTTCAAAGTATATATAGGCAGATAAAAGGAAACTTAGAAATAACACCCAAATTAACCTGGTCAATAATTAAGTAAGTCCCTGCCTACAGCAATGTAATAAAAAAATGCTTGCTTTGTCTTCATGAAAAACTTTGTATAATATCATACAAAGGTATGCAAGAATTGTTAAATAAAAAAACTGAAATAATATCCAAGTGCTGTCACAAAAACAAGTTCTTGCTTGAAAACCACCAGCCCAAAGATTAAAAAACCAAACAATGCTCGCAAATAGTAACAGCTTTATAATTATATATACATTATAATATATATTAAAACCACTTTTATTACAATTACGATAGTCAGAAAGATTCTCAATGCAGATGAGAAATAATACAGTACAATAAATAGAATTTTGTGATACTCTAAAAGTTACTGATATAATAAAGACTTTAGAGGAAAACATTAAAAACAGCACACTATAATCATATTTCTTGCCTAAAATAAATACAAATTTCTCACCTTTCAATAAAATTCACTTTATATATATTTTTAAATTTATCTTTAAACACATTTAATTTTTTAAAGTATACCTGTAAATATATTAAAATTTTAGCAATATACCCATAACTACCACCTTTAATTCAGTATTGTTGTGAATTTATTATTTTCATCATTGTTTCAAATTTTGGTTTTGAAAAGTCAGAAATTTTTATTATTAGGTTGGAAGCTGTTTCTGTTGGTTGTTATCCATTGTGTCCAAATCGACTTGTTTATCCAGAGTTTTTTCCTGGTATTAAATAGTTTTTGATATACATTTACTATAAAGCATATATGAATTTACCCCCTTTTTTTGCTGACCTATATCCAAAGCGTTATATATATATATATATATATATATATATATATATATATATATATATATATATATATATATATATATATATATATATATATATATATATATATACTATAGCATATATAGATATATATAGGGCTTGAAAAAAAAAAAAAAGAAAGAAAGAAATAGAAAAAAGAAAAAAGTAAGAAAAAAAAGTAAAATCAAAATAAAGAGAGTGTAGAAAAGAAATAAAAAAGCAAATAAAATATACAAAAAATTAAAAACTAATTTTTTATTTTTCAACCACTAATTGTAGTTGGAAGTTACTGGAAAAGATTGTAGAGCAAGATAACGATCGACAGATGACTTAAAAGATTACAAATTATATGAATTGGGAAAGAAAGATGAATGAAGCGAATTCCAAAGTGATGTTTGAGAAAAAAAATTAAATCAGTCAGCTAGAAAACAATAAAGTAATATTAGTTTGTATGTCAATCCATTGACAGTATAATTTATGCAATATCACTAAAAGTCCAAAAAAAAAAACATTTTGAAACAAAATTATCAATAAAACTCCAGTAAAGACTAATGGAAAATATTGTCTAAGCAATATTATTTCAAACATTAGCTAAACTGCAAAAATTTAACTACAAAAAAAATTACAAAATAACAAACTACAAATATTTTATAAATACAGATATGTCTCCTGAAATATATATATATATATATATATATATATATATATATATATATATATATATATATATATATATATATATATATATATATATATATATATATATATATATATATATACATATATATATATATATGTATGTATATATATATATATATATATATATATATATATGTATATATATATATATATATATATATATATATATATATATATATATATATATATATATATATATATATATATATATATATATATATATATATATATATATATATATATATATATGTATATATATTTATATATGTTTATGTATATATATATATATATATATATATACATACATATATATATATATATATACATAAACATATACAAATATATATATATATATACTTATATATATATATATATATATATATATATATATATATATATATATATATATATATATATATATATATATATATATATATATATATATATATATATATATATATATATATATATATATATATATATATATATATATAATATATATATATATATATATAATATATATATATATATGTATATATATATATATATATATATGTATATATATATGTATATATATATATATATATATATATACTAGGGCTGTACCGGATTTTCCGAATCCGGCCGGAGTCGGATTTGTCGGATTTCTACTAACAGATCCAACCTGAATCATAGCCGGAGCAGGATTTCAAAACAAAATTACAGCAGCCAAAATTTTATATATCCCTACTTGGTGTTGAGAATTGTCCAATGTGGACTATTCAGAATGTCAAGTGACAGCTGTTTTCTGTTAAACTTCATTGCTGTTATTAAAATGTTTTATAGCAATTTCTATAGAAATTATATAGATGTTCTATAGAAATTCTATAAGCCATATTTTTAAAAAGTTTATAGAAATTCTATTGAACCTTTTTCCGGAATGTTGTCACTCCGCCAGTGTAGTGGATCAGTGTGTCTATTTATTTCTGGTTCTTCCAGATATTGGCTTAGCTGAGTGTCAATGTCTTTTAGTAATTGTTGTTCATGTGCTGTGCTAGCAGCGGATGTAGACTGAATAATTTTAATAATAAATTGCCAGAGTAATGATGATGATGTAGAAAAATTATCCAGCTTGGCTTATTTTGCTGGATTTTCAATCAGTTTTGTCAATCCTCTGCTCAGCATGCTCAGATTGACTTTAATCTTGTTTTTTTAGCTGTCAGTGTTGCTTGTAATGAGAAGTTAGTTTTAAATTGTGAATCAACCAGTGTCATCACTATATAAAGAGGTTTCTCTTTTCAATATTTTTAAAACTCATCCAATGACTTGATTGTTAACATTATAGTCTTATATCGTGTGTCTTCCCTTCAGAAGTTTTTGTTGCGTTGTTGTTTGAAATTAGGCTAAGCTTATCAAATTGTAAAGAAATATAAATACAGATACCAAAACAAACATGAAGTTCATAAAATATACAATTACGAAAAAAATTTATTTGTATAAATAAATTATCAAGTATACATGAAAACATGGGCAAAAAAAGTGTTATAAATATTTGACTAAAATTTTAAACTTCAGCTAAAATTATGCCAGATTTGGACCGAATTTGTAAAAATGGCCTGATGCTAGATCAAGAGTCAAAGCCAAAATTTGGCTCCTGCTCCGTATAATATATATGTATATATATATACTCTTGCATGGTAGTTAAAAAGAGTTCCCCATAAACTGTAGTTTTAAAGAGTGCGTTAATAAACCAGACCAGAAAAAGTTTAAAAACTTATTTTTTTTTTTTTTTTTAAAATGATAGACTGCCTGCCCAAACCAAACCCTCAGTCGATGTAGCAGCACTCCCTTGCGAGTCAGGCTATTTGTCAGTCGTTGTAGCAGCACTCCCTTGCGAGTCAGGCTATTTGTCAGTCGATGTAGCAGCACTCCGTTGCGAGTCAGGCTATTTGTCAGTCGATGTAGCAGCACTCCGTTGCGAGTCAGGCTATTTGTCAGTCGATGTAGCAGCACTCCCTTGCGAGTCAGGCTATTTGTCAGTCGTTGTAGCAGCACTCCCTTTCGAGTCAGGCTAATTGTCAGTCGATGTAGCAGCACTCCGTTGCGAGTCAGGCTATTTGTCAGTCGATGTAGCAGCACTCCGTTGCGAGTCAGGCTATTTGTCAGTCGATGTAGCAGCACTCCCTTGAGAGTCAGGCTATAAGATACATTTACGCATGTTTTAAAAATGTTTTTTTATAAAACAAAAACAAAAACACCACTAATTAAAAAAAACTTTCTAGTCGTTATAATTGCGGTTTTTTGAAAAATTTTTAAAAAACAATAAAATTTAATGTACTTCCGCATTAATTTAATTGCTTTGACATTTCGACGACAATCAAATACAGCTTAAGAGACGAGGTAATTAAAATTGTAGTCGAAAGAGACTTTTTTTACATTAAAACGCTCTTTCGACTACACTATAAGGATATATATATATATACATATATATATATATATATATATATATATATATATATATATATATATATATATATATATATATATATATATATATATATATATATATATATATATAAATATATAAATATATATAAATATATATATATATATATATATATATTTATATATATATATATATATATTATATATATATATATATATATATATATATATATATATATATATATATATATATATATATATATATATATATATATATATATATATATAAATATATATATATATATATTTATTTATATAAATATATATATATATATATATATATATATATATATATATATAAATATATATATATATATATATATATATATATATATATATATATATATATTTATATATATATAGTTTTTATACTATAGCAATATATTGGTATTAGTTTTTCATAAATCAAAAAAATAAGTTCATTTTTTTTTTAGAGTGTTATCTTTATAATACAAAACAACAACTGTTTAAAAAGCTTAAACAATTTTGCAAAAGACCAGATTTAGTAAGGAATCATCAAAGTAAGGTAAATTAAAATAAAACACTTTTTCTATCCCAAAATCTTCAAGACAAAATCCTATATAAAATATGAAATTTGGTTGATAACATTGACTTTATATAAGTTATATAAATGACATTAATTGTATTAAAATGTTTTAAAATATCTAAATTAGTTACTTTAGAACAATACTTTTTAACAATGTTACCAATTAGTTAACTGAAATTTATCATACTCTCATATTTTGTCATATTACCGTCAACTAGGGTTACTTTGATAGTTTTTTGTGATTTTTTTAAAAGTGCTGATAGAATTTTAATGAATTGCTGTCATTTTTGGTTTGAATATGCCAAATGATCTATCCTTAACAGGAAAAAGTGCTTTTTAGAAATATCAGAACTTGTCTTGTATTTGTTTTTAAAGCCCAAACAGTTATCAATGTAACCCCGCATGTCGGGTTACAGTTTTATTTTTTCAAACACTTCAACAACAGAATTGACCAATGTAATTGACAACATATTTCTTCTTGGTGTAGGCTACAACTACCCATTGCTTTGGTTCAAATGGAATGTCAGTTGTTTTATCAGCTAATTCCATAGAGTCTTCACTGTCATATTGAAGTTCCATTTCAATTTCAGAATCATTATCTGAAGATGATGAAGACTTAATTTTTATATTTGATCATTTTTTTTTGACAATTTTGCACCACTACCAGTTCACTGTGTTTGTTTTTTTGTTTCTTTGATCACAGTAAGATCATTTGATGTTATTTTTTTACCAGGAATTATCTTTTTTTCTCTCTTCGGTGTTTATTTATCTGGTTTATTGAATCCACAATGATCTTTTAGCATTTCCTGAACAACCGTACCAAAGATTTCTTTAACTTTTTCACCACCAACATCTCAGTTTTCATTTGGCAGTCTTTTCAAGACTTCGTCTCTGTTTAGTCGAGAAATTCTGCAAGCTAAAAACCAGAAATCAGGTTTTGTTCTTTTAGTCTTCAATGCAACTTCAATAATAACCCAGGAAAATGTGTCTTTGGTATTTTACCTTTGATACAACTTTCTTTTTGCCAACATTCCAGAATTCTCTTCCATTCTTTCTTCTATCTAAAAACTGCGACATCCAGTGGTTGAAGGAGATGACTTGCATTTAGTACCAAACAGGTTAAACAAATGTTATTCAGTTGGGCGGCCTCAATGACTGGAAGAAAAAAATGAGAGGTAAGATTGTCACCAATGATGACTTTGGTCCATGATCTTTATTAACGTTAGAAAGAAATATTTCTAGAAACCAGCGTTCGAAGGTTGTTGAATCAAACCACCCTGACTTTGAACCTTTCCACAATACATGATGCTTACACAATTCTTTGAGTGTTGCATTTTACGTTCGACTCTTTTAAGTCCTTGTCTGCATATAATCGATTTTGCACCAGGGTCATTCAAAAGATTAGTCTTGTCATAGTTATAAATTTTAAAAGGTTCAACACCTTCTAATATCTTCACTGTTAAAAACTGTCTGTTTTTAACACCGGAGTGATCCAGATAATGTTTGACCATTAAACAAATATCTTATCCATCAACAGGCATTTTCCAATCACAAAGAAGGTTTATTGCCTTCAAAAGGTGATTCTCGCAATTAGAACAAAGTGCAACTGGTTTTCCGACTTTTTTACCATGTTTACCTTTCCTTCTGTTGTACAATGTCCCATATGGTGTTTTATACTTTTTAGATGCTTTTAGCAAACTCATAGTACCCTTCCGGCAACATTGAAGGGCTGCTGACAACTGAGTTTCTGAATGTGAATGATAAGCACAACTCCTGTCTTTCCTCTTGTATGTCCTCATATTACAGATAGGTAGGTATGTACCTATAGGTATATAAATAAACATGTTTTTATAGTATTTTATTACTGTTTAGAATATGTTTTTTACACTTTTTTACAAAAAAGTTACAAAAAACTTTCTAAAATTTTTATTTTATTTTTAACAATTTTAATATGTTTTTTACCTTTCAAATCAATTTAGTGAAATGTTTGTAAACTTTTGATTAGCCTTTATTTGATTTTAACCTGAAAATAGAAAAGATAATCAAATAGTATTAAAAATATATTATGATAATATACTGAAAAAGTAATTCTAAAAAAATTATCAATGTTACCCTGGGTATCAAAGTAACCCCAGTTGACGGTATGTTAAATTACAATATCAATCGTTGATGCAAATTCTGTTTATTGTGCAAATAAAAAAATTGCAAATAATTTAGTAGTTAGCAGCACTGGAAATAAAGACCAATCAACAAATAATGCTTCTCTACTTTTTTAAAAAATGATATTTTCATCTGTCAATTAGTTCTGGCTCATTAGTTCTGGCTCATTTGTTCTGGCTGATTAAATTTGGTTGCCGAAAATTGAAAGGCAAACTTTATTATAAGTTTAAATATCTTCCAAAACAGAAATTTAAAGTTATTAAGCTAGCAACTAAATGTTTTCAATTATTGGAATAAATATAGTTTGAAACCATTACAATTTTGACTTTTCAATATGAAAATATTGAAGTAGCAAAAATACTGAATGAAAAAAAAAAACTTGGCGTTTTTGATTAGTGGAATAATCACAGTTTTAGAACATAACAGTTTTTTTTAACTTTCGTTTGAAAATTAGTTAAATGTTTATGAATTTTTATAAATAATAAATGGATAAAATTTTTTTAAATAAAATGAATTTAAAATAATATCTAGAAATGTTATCATTTCTTTTAATTTTCAAATCATTAATAACATATGCTTTTAATAGGTGTGAAAAACATCGTCTAAGAATATGATAACATTTTAAGCAAAAAAAATTTTAAATTTTGCTTGAATTGTTATAATGGTCTCTAAAGTTTGAGATCATTAAGCATCAAAACAATGTAATAGTTTTTGTTTTAAGTATTAAAATTAATTAATTAGAAAGTATAAAATTATTAGTTATTAAATGGAGACAGGCAAAAAATAACTTTTAAATTTAATTAGAGTTCAGTATCTATACCACCCACTAAGTAAATAGTAAAAAATTATAAAAGAAAGTTTTAAAAAAATAAAATCAGCTAATAGATGATAAAACTTTCAAAATACAATGCTAATGATTGGCTTGAAATTGAAAGTGTTGATGGAATATTGACTGCTAAAATGCAGAGTATGTCAAGAATATGTTTTTCCAAAATCAGATTTAAAAAAGCTACATGTCAGAATGGGGTGGCGGAAGAGGATATTGTTGAATACAGTTCTGCATTTATATATACAAAGGGAACATGTTATTAGAAGTGTTTTGAGATAAATATGAAAATAAGTTGTCATGGGCAACCAAATTGAAAAACTAAATGAGTTGTTAAACAAGTTACAAGAGTTAATGCTGCAAACAGACATTTTAGCTGGTATTCAAACCATGAATAGTAAAGATCTGGATTTGATCAAAAAAAAAACTAAGTTTGCTTACCTAAAAGTTGAATTACGGCTTTGTCTATATCCAAATATAAATCAACTTAAAACATGGTGCATCTTTGGTCAAGCAAAAAATAATAATAATCAAAATATTTTTCCATTTTAATTAATAATTTTTTAATTATAAAAAATAAGACTATATTTGCTGTGCTTTAGTCTAACTGGAAAATCTGAGGTATGCGTCGGAAGTGACTTTCTTTAAATTTCGAATGTTGAATATGGAACATCATAAAAAAATCAAAAAATGGTGTTGGTGCAGATAGTTCATCTGTTAATAGAGGAAGCAAGTCAGGTGTTAAAATGTTGCTTAAGTTTGAAATCCTGTGGATCATGTTTGGTTGGTGTGTAGCACATTGTGTCAAGTTATTTTAAGAAAAGTTAAAAAAACACAATTTGAGGCAGTTGGGTGTTTGAGACAGTTGCTTCTATTTTAGAAGATGATGACTATTTAGAAAGATGATTGTATAACATTGATGTTAACCCACCCAAGAAAGGCTCCAGTATAGTTTGTTACCATAATAGTTATGCATGATGGATTTAATGGCTTATATTCTTAATTAATTTTTTTGCAAATATAAAGTAAATTGTCAATTTTTTTTTTGGGTATATGGCGGATTGCACATAAAAGTCAGGCTTTAGAAATGATGTTAGACAAGTACAGTGTTTATTTAACGCATCTCAAAATTATGGATGACGATCATTCTTTTACTAATGCTCAACAAGTTAAGTTTAAAGTATACCATAAGAAGTGGGCTTATGCTAAAATGCCTCTTTACATTGCTTTGTTTACTGAATTTCTAGAACTGCCAAAGATGTTGTTAAAATCTTTTTAAATTTATGGAATAGATGTGTTGGCATCATTAGAGTTATCAACAAAGTAAAAACTAGTTGAATTAATCTTCAAAATATAAAAAATAAATTAATTATTAATTAATTTATTTTTTATATTTTTTCCATTAATTATTTCCAGGATGTTGTGCTAAATGATTTCAGGAATGCCAAATGTTATTAAAAAAATCAAATCTTATTAAAGGAAGAGAATCCAATATAATTGACTTGATTCCTGTTATATGGACAAGTGATGCAGTGTGAAGACCCACACATTCACAAAGAAAAACTTACACAAAAAGAGTAAAAAAAAATTTGTTTAAAAACATTAATTAACTTGGTTTCATTTTGGACAAATCAAATAATGAATAGAGTAAAACATTTATCACCTTTTTTGTTTTGTTTTCGACAAAAACAAAAGGTGATAAATGTTTTGTACTACTCAGAATAAACCACTTTAAATATTATTTCATCAATTTGAAGGTAAGGTTATCAGAAAGATTACTAATATATTTGAGAAGCAACACAAGATTAAGGATAGAGCTTTGTGCTATTCGAGAAATTTAAATTAAAGGAGGTGCAGTCCGTTAAGAAAGATTGCAGTTAGAAAGAAATAATTTATTAATTTGAACCTTTCTGTTATAATAGTTATAATGTTACTTGTAGTTTGAGAGTATAGAAATCTGTATTGATTTTCAGAGAGCTGTTAGGCTTGAAATTAGATATAGACTAGTAGATGAGTTCATATTGGAAATAGTTTTTGCAAATAGTTTTTGCAAACTTGGAAATAGTTTTTGCAAGCAGGTTTGACATAGATGTCTAAAAATGTATAAAACTATTTTTTTAGAATGACAGTAAGAGTGTGGACATTGGATTCAAAAGATGAATAAAAAAAAAGAAAGATTCTAGCAAATAGGTCTGGTAGAGTAGAGACAATACTGCATTGATTTTTTTCAATTATAAAAAAAATGTTTGTTTTCCAGAATTTTGCTCTTATGAAAAAGCAGGAATAAAATACTAAAATTAGAAATAGCAGCAGTACAAGAAGAAAATTTGCATGGTATTTTTAAAAAGAAAAAGACTTAAAATTAATGAGAAGTAAGGAAATGGAATGGTAAATAGAGAGGGCTATATATGTATATGCTCAGACGTTTTGTTTAAATCAAGAGATAATAGCCATTAACCGTTTAACAGTCCCGTGGTTTTTTCAAAATACTGCTATTAGGCCAGCTTTTTTTTTGAAGTGGTCTCTAAATGTTCCGAGTTTTTAAAATCATCATGTTTTTTTACTAATAGAATAAAAAAATGTATTCTACTATTTTTAACATTATTAAACACTACAAAATGTTATTATTATGTATATAAATCACATAAACATAAATGTTATTATTATGTATATAAATCACATAAACATAAATGTTATTATTATGTATATAAATCACATAAACATAAATGTTATTATTATGTATATAAATCACATAAACATAAATGTTATTATTATGTATATAAATCACATAAACATAAATGTTATTATTATGTATATAAATCACATAAACATAAATGTTATTATTATGTATATAAATCACATAAACATAAATGTTATTATTATGTATATAAATCACATAAACATAAATGTTATTATTATGTATATAAATCACATAAACATAAATGTTATTATTATGTATATAAATCACATAAGCACAAAATTTTAAAAATCTTCTCTGAGCATTAATCTTTTATTACCATTTTCAATAATCATTCATTAAATTCTTTTCATTATTGATTCATCAAATGTATAATTTTCAATAATCATTCATTAAATTCTTTTCATTATTGATTCATCAAATGTATAATTTTCAATAATCATTCATTAAATTCTTTTCATTATTGATTCATCAAATGTATAGTTTTCTATCTTTTCGTGAGTAAATATTTCCTTTTTGATAATTATTTTTGCACTGAAAGAGCTTCTTTTTTTGTCATATTTAAAATTAAAGTGACCACATGTAAAAGTGAATTATTGAAACAAAAGCTCTGTAATTATGTTGTAATAAGTTTTTTGACAAGTAGATGCATAATTACTAATGAACAAGGAGATGCATAAAATCGCAATATTACGGCATGGACATTTGAGAACCACTTCAAGTTTGCGTAATTATAAGTCATGAACTGTTAACGGGTTAACACTAAAATCCAAAAATGATACAGCCAATTTAAAATTGTCTCACAATGAGCAAATAGGTATGGTGAATTTTGTAAAAAGTTAAGATTCAATGGATGGTTAAGGAAAATTTAAAGGAAGGTTACCTAGAAAACCACTAATATTTGTTAAGGATAGATTGAAACAAATTGTTAGTAATGGTGGGTTTTTTTTAATAATAATTTTAGGTACTTTATTTTACCCACATGCAGTTAACATCTGCCCAGAATTAGTATTTTTATTAAGTCATTATCTCTAGCTTTTACTTAACTAAGAGCCTTATGGCTCTTAGTTGAGTAAATGCTAGAGATGGGGATGATGAGAGATGGGAATGATGAGAGATGGGGATGATGAGATGGGATAAGAGGGGGGCATTTTATTTCTTTGTTCGTTTTACCTCCCTGACTCTGACAAAAAATAAAAACTTACAAGACAGTAACACATGAGGCGTGTTGCACTTGATTACGTGTTACCTGTAGCAGCGTAATAATGATTATGCTAACCCTGACCTGACCTGTAGTCAGAATTGATTTGATGATAAGTAATTAACTATTACTTATGCATTATACCAATCTATTAAGGCAAATATACTTATTAAATACCTTGCGGAAGTCACAGTTAAAAAAAATATGAAATTTTTTTTTTTTAAATTAATTAATGGGGGATTGTTTATTGGCTCATTTAAACATTTATTTGATCTGTGAATTAATATCTACTTATTAATCATAGTTGCAAGATGGAAAACATTTTTCCATCAAACAAATTTCAAGCACTGTTGTTTATTATAATTTAATAAATAAGATGTAGTGAAGTGAATGAGTGGCAATGTTTTATTTTTTATAACCACTATTTTTTTTATATATATATCGTTAATTAATTTGTTTATATTTTTAATAGCAGTCTATATTGAACTATATTTTATCTTGATGTTTTTGCAAAAATGCTAAAAAAATTATTGATTAATTGATATACTAATAGTTGCCTACATACACTATTTTAAATAACTTGATTTATCGCTGTTTCATAAGCTAAGCAAGTTGCTTTGTTTAATTGTGAAGCAACATATTTAGAAGTTGGGAAGAAGGTTTGTTTACTTAACACAAACAATCTTTTTAATTATCTTGATCACAAAAAAGATATGGCGTTGAAGTACATCAAAATTCAATTCATGAACTAAACATTTAGGTTTTGTTCCCATCTACTTAAAACTCCAAAAAATGATTGATATGACACTGTTCTATTTCTTATTCGAAATATTAAGAATTTCTTTATAACACACTTCGTTATTTTATTTATAAATGCTTTATCCACAAATTTTCAAGTTAACTAGAAATTATAATCCTTTAGAGGTCTTAAGTTGCCAAATTTTACAAGTACTGTCTTTGAACTTAATATTCTGCAATACAGTAGAATTATTATATAATTTTCTAAACTTGAAAATGTTGGCTGCAGTTTTAGTCTTCACCAACTGATTTAATCGAACTAAAATGCTTCATTGTTTTAAAATGTTTGTTGTTACTTATTTGATCTTATATTTGCGATATTCATCTCCGCTCAACTTTTTCGGTTTTTGCTAGGAAAGAAAGTAGCAAGGATGCGGAGTCCCAAAAAAGACTCCGAATTTGAAAGTCTCAAAAAATTACTTCTTCATAGTATTTGGTATCCAGGAGTTCTAAAAATATAAAAAAGTTTATGGACTACTAATAGGAAAAAAATTAAGACATTTAGGTAAGAGGAACAATCATTTTTTGAACCCAGAGTCCTTAGGTATAATGGCGGCAAGGACTCCGGGACTCCAGGACTCCGAGCTTAAACCACATGAATTTTTTTCTTATAGCAGATTACAAGTCAACCAGTGGTTGACTTGTGATCTGCTATAAGAAAAAAAAGCCAATTGCATTTTTTGTTCTTCGAGACAGCTAGCTTCCAGAAAAAAGACAAACATTTATATGTTTATACTTATGTCAAATAAGGATGCTTTGCAAAAAATTGCGATGATTGGAACTTGGGAACAAAAAAACCCTAAAATTTTGGCCCTCCTGCCCCAAACGTGAGAGCAACAAGTTAATGAAATATTTTCTGTGCTATTTTCAACTAAACTTATATTCATCAATAAATTTTAAGTTTCATAGTAAAATATTTTAGCTTTCAAAATTTATGACCATATAAAGTTTAACCCCCCTCCCCTAATTTGAGGGGGTTGCAGATTTTATATGGTCATTCTTTTTAAACGCTGAGAGATAATAATATGAAACTTAAAATTTATCGATGAATATAAGTCTAGTTGAAAATAGTACAAAAAATATTTCATCAACTTGTTGCTCTCACGTTTAGAGCAGTGAGGGAGGGGGCCAAAATTTTAGGGCATTTTTGTTCCTAAGTACCAATCATCACAATTTTTTGTAAAGCATCCTTATTTGACATAAGTATAAAAATATAAATGTTTGGAGTTTTCTCCATGTCTAGAAGTTAGCTATCTCAAAGACGAAAAAATGCAATTGACGCCAGTGAAGTCAACAAACATGTTTATAAAGCCGGAGTCCTTTTGGGACTCCGCATCCTTAGAAAGTAGTATTTAATACTTTCCAGTTAATAAAAATTGATTATCATAATATCTTCTACTAATATTATATTTTATATGTTATTGCAAACATAAAACCTTTAAATAATTTTAAATTTAATTTTGACTTAACGTTGCACAATTTTTTTATTATATTTAAATTTATTTTGTTTAAAATCTTTTAAAAGCTTTTTTAATTATATGCTATACAAAGTTTGAGCATACTATTATGTGGATAATACTCGGTAATACTCGATAGTATCTCGGTAATGCAGTTGTTGTATATTTATCTCTTACTATTATTACAGTGTGTTCAGAAACTTTACAAAGATTGAAAATTTTGTAAAATTTTTTGATATCTAGATGATATAATATAAATATATAATATTTGATATGTTGATATAAAACTGTTACGTAAACTAAGTTATTTTGTAGAGAAAATCAAGATTATTAGTAAAAAAGAATATGTATAGTTAAACTTTGCGCCTTAAAACATACAAAATACGTTTAAAACATTACGTTTTCTTTCTTATTGCTAATTTTTCTACTTGCTTTGGTTTTGTATTTTTTTTGCTTCTTTAGTATATTTTGTTATTTCTTTTGTGCAAGTTTTAAACTTTTTGTTTTTATGTTTTTTAATTTTGTTTTCTTATTTTTAAAATTTGATTTTTAGTTCCCAGTGGGCATGCGTCGTCCTACGTCCGTAGGACGTCTTACGGATGTCTGGACATCCGTGGTTCTTCCAACGGACGTTCCTCGAACGACGCATGCCCACTGGGTTATTGCTAATTTATTTTAATATCGTTTCATTTGTGCCATTTTTGAATATAAAATTTTTAAAGTTATTTTATGAACTCTTTTTTATATTAGATTTGTTCATCCACTTTAGGTAAATCTTTTGCAATTTGACAGCAATCGGCTGCGTGATGAATATCTATGTTATTTACTTAAAGAAAATAACTAATTTTTTACAATATTTAAACTTGTATTACACATAATTAATAAATTATAACTTTAAATAGTTACGCCATTAACTTTGATGATTGAGGACAGAGGGCATGCGGAATATTTATTTTTTAAACAAAATTGTTTTTTCCAAATAAAACTCTTTATCCAAATACGTAACTTGATATGCTTTTGGAAGGACTCTTTTTCTCCCCTCTTCCAAACCCTTTCGTTTTTTTCTTTATTTTGCATGCGACTCACTAATTTTCAATTATTATGTTTCATTTTTGTTTTACTGGAGAGATACAAATCTGTTTACAAGATATTTAAAGATCTTTTTATATTCTAAAACAGAGTGATATACTATTCTTTTAAATTATTCAAAATAAATTTTGCATAGTTTTCTCAGCACCTTGTGAAGGTTTTGTTTGACTGATTAAATTTGTAACCTTTTTGCTGAAAACACTATGTAGTAAGCTGCGATTATCTATTGGGAATATTGCGAAAACTAATTTCACTAACAAAAATCTTCATTGTATTCCGAATTCTGTTTCCATTAGTACAAAAATTAAGTTAAAATAACATTGTTTTTATAAAATGCTGCAGAATCTGAAATTTGTCATTGATTTGGATAGTTATCTTTTCTACTTACAGTTCTCTATACTATTTATAGAAAAGAACGAATTCAAGTACAAAAACGAATTCAAGTACAAAAAAATTTTACGAATTCAAGTACAAAAACTTATTTTCGGGTTATAAAAAAGTTGTAAAATATGTAATAGATATTTATAAAAATATTTATACAAATTCAAATCAGCGTAGGACACGCGTCCTCCTAGGGACGTGGGCGGGAACACGCGTAGTTCTAAGATTACTTTTATGGACTTCTATTAATACCTTCGCAATCAAAATACCTTCTGTATTTTCCGTTTCAATAAATTTTATGCAACTTTAAACTAAAACTGAAAAAAAAGCGCGCAAAAGTACTAAATTTTCATAATTAATCAATAAGAGTTTTTTGATTCGGTAACTATATACATAGTTAGGCACTTCGATCAAAATTTTAAACTGAATTTTATGTTTTAAAAATTTCATTGATCAATAGAGACTAATAGTATCTTTCTAAGGCCTTTATTATTATAATATTGTAAAAAAAAAAAAAAAAGAAAAGTTATTTTGTTTTAAAAATCCAAAGTAAAAAATCATTAATGATATAAAAATTGAAAAAAAAAACAAGTAAAATTCAAAACGAATTCTTAAAATACAATGCTTTTATAGGGGAAAGTCGCGTATGATAGCATACTTAACTTTGAAGCTTTATTATTCAGTTTCCTAAAGACCAAGAACAAAAGTTTTGATATAAATACATTCTTTGTTATATGTAGAACAATAATAACCCTAGGAATTTTCATCAATTTTATTTTTTTATTAGTTATTTTTATTTAGGTAAAAGCATAAGTATTCTATTATAGGCAATTACTACTCCCATGATTGCATTGGGGAGGACGGGGCTGGTTTGCATCAAGGGTAATTTAACAGTTTCATTTGACTCTAAAATCTTCCCAGAAATTCAGCGTAATCATCCTAATTAACCCTTTTGTGCTACACGTCACAGTGCAGAATTTTGCGCATGCGCATAAGAGATATTGCGTTTTATGTGTTTTTGGAACCAAACAATTTATAGTAAAGTAAAAATTGTTTTAATAAAAAAAAAAAAAAAGATTTTTTCAACTTTTTAATACTGCAACACACCTAACTCGTCAATATGCCATCATACTGACGAGTTAGGTGTAAGGCAGACTTAGCTTTTGAAAATGATGACTTCATAGGAAAAAGTCATCATTTTCATTTAAACAAGCTATGTCTGTCTTGTTCAAAAGATAAAATTAAAATAAGTGTTCCACTAAATGCACAAAACTTGGAAAAAAAATGTATAAAAATTTCCTTTCTGCGCAGTTAATAATAAAATCACAATCTTAAATATATGAAGGGAATAAAACTACAACAGCACATCTCAAATCGATTTTTGTTGATTATAAAAGCCATATTTGTGCATAAAGGACGTATTTTTACTAAAACTAATGTAAAGTCAGTATAGACATGTAGGTCTAATCAGTTTTTTTCCATAACAAATATTTATGAAAATATGACCGTACGCCATCACAGGCGCTATGCCATCATAGGCGCCTTACCCCTATGTTATTAAAACACAAATTTTGCAATCAATTTTTTCCGATATTACTATTTTCTTTTTCATGAAATTTCGCTAATCGCATGCAAAAATTCTTTCCATATAAAAAATAAACTTAATTAAAATTAACTAAATTAATTTACTTATTGCAAAAAGAATTATTGAATATTGTATTGTCATCAAGTAAGAGTAGGTATGCAAAATTTGAAGACAATCTATCATCAGAAAGTGACTCAAAAATTGGTTGCAAGGTTTGATGTTAACAGACAGATAAAGGGGGTAGTACAGTAATTAAATTTGAAAAAATCATTTTTTCAAAAGTTGTATGATAATGTATATTAGTATTGTAATATATTACAAATAATATTTGTATAATATATTATAGAAATATATATAAATATAAAAATATTGTATTATGATACAATTACGTATTTGAAATATGTATTGGCAGGTATGTGACATGAAATTTTTTATTTACAAAATATTATATTGTTATGTATCGTTGAAAAGAGCATTAATACAGTATTTCAACGGTAAAAAAAATATCAAAATTGAACAATTCAAAAAAAGTTATGAGGTCTTTTTTTTTTTTTTTTTTAGTTATTTAGGTGCTCCAAGAAGTCCTTACGGTCTTGTCGCAGAGCTCCGCGGAAGTGCATTAAACCAGGAAATTCACGCCTCGTTCCTTACCGTGACGCGAAATATCCAAAGCTCGTTTCGAACCTGGATCTTCTGCTTGTAAACAAGCGCTCTACCCACTGCGCCACGGCCGCATGTTTTTAGTGACTATTTTTTAATATATGTAATTGTTAAAAAAACTGTGGTCAAAATAATTTTTTTGTACCGAAAATTGTTATAACTTTGCAAGTTTTGGTCGAGATGTCTATAATTTGGTATCAGAAAATAGATCGCGACGTTAGAATTATCTTGTTCTATCTCTACTTTCTAAAAAAATTGAGTTAATGACAGTGTTGTGTTCCTCAAAATAATGTCTTTCTACTGAATTGAAACCTAAGTTATAAGTAAAAAAGTTGCGGAAAAACATGTTATAAAAAAAAAATCTTACGCTGTCTCCTAGAGTTTTTGTTTTTTAAATTGTTTTATCTCAAAACTAAAAAAATGTGGAGATTAAACAAGATAATTCCAACGTAGCAAGATGTAAGAGTGGGCTATAATTTTATAGTAGCATCTAGCCATAGGGCGTAGTGGATGGCTAGAGGGGGTCCCGAACTACGACTTTTACCCCCAATAAATTGAAAATTCTATCATAAAAAAGTATTTTAATACTGAAAATTGTTTTTTTTTTCAAACAGAAGTTCCAATATTTTGCTCCCAGATCACCACCGTATATGAGATGTGTACCTTTGAGTTAGGGTTAGATGTGGTGGTGATTGTTTAACACGAACTATTAACAAAAATAATTACTTTTGTAAAAATAATATTTCTCTTATTTAATGTCCAATTAAATAAGTAATCCAAAACAAAAAATAAAATATAAATTTCAGTACTTTACAACTAGTAAAACTAGTAGTAGTATTATACTATTCATACTGCTTTAGGCATGTCAAGGAACCGTGGATACTGAAAAAAATTTCTGTGATTGATGGAGATGCTGTATCAATCCATGCACGTCGATGGCTTCTTCCCAGTAAGCACAGGACGTTTTTAAAACGTTTTAATTCCGTTCAATTTACGGTCGGACGTTAAAAGAACCAATACAATCGTTTTTAAAACGTTTTTTTGCAAACGTTTTTTTTAATGTTAATTTAAACGTTTTTTTAGTGTTTTTTAAACGTTTTATTTTTTTTATTAACTTACAAAATTTCTCAGTTAGCTTATAAACGTTTTTAAAACGTTTTTTTAACGTGATAAAAAAACTTTTTTTAAACGTACAGCACGGCAATATTTAAAAGAGTATGTTTACGCAAATAATGGCGTGACCTGTGGTAGTATATTCCATCCGACAAAATATTCCATCCTTTTGCGTAAAACTCAAAACGAGGATGTGTATTTAAATTATAGTTGTTAGAAATGTTCCTTCTGAGTCCGAAATGAAACGAAACACAGATTTAGCTTAACACAATTTATAAAAGTAAATAAATTATTTTTAAGGTCACATATATAGTATTACCAGAAATGCAAATAACTATTATCTTCACAGCATAGAAACGGAAACAAATAATGGAAATTAAAAAACAAGATTAATTATCTAATGTAATCGTAGATTATTCCATTCCGTCCCAATGCGTAAAATCAAAACATTATACTATTAACTATTTTCGGAACAATTCTAATGGCTATAACTTAAAAACACATCCTCGTTTTGAGTTTTACGCAAAAGGATGGAATATTTCGTCGGATGGAATATACTACCACAGACCTTCGATTAGGCGAATTAATTTATTTAAATAAAAATTATATAAATTAGTATATATTTAAATCAACCAAGTGTTTGTATTCTTTTCTTGTAGAATTAAATTTGAAAATATATTAGAGTATTTTTAGTTTAAAGTTGTATGCCTTCGTTGAAACTAGGTTGTGTTTGTATTTCTATTTGAATCAAGTAGATATGATTAAGAAAGTTTTAATGGTGTGGTTAGCTAGATTATTTTACTCTATTAAATAACTTAATAGTTAAGTAAACTTGAATGCTTAAAAAAACTAGATTAAGTTTTTAATTCTACTTAATTATCAACTGCTTTTAACGCAAAAAATTTATTTGGATTTGAGAAAAGGGAACAACATTCTCAGAGTTTTTCTTCTTTAACTCTAAAAATTAAAAGTAATAATATCAGTGGTTTTTATAAAGGAATTGCTATAGTTAAAAAGGCTGAAAGGAA